GGGGGGAGGGGGGGGAGCGAGATGCGACGCGGGACCGGACAGCGGAGAGAGGGGAGACGAAGAGACAGGGAGAGAGGGAGGGATATAGGGGGGAGGGAAGGAGAGGGGGAGGGGGGGGGGCGAGGGGAAAGCAGAGACGGGGAGGTGGGGGAGTTTGTATGTCGGAGCCCCGCCGGTCGAGGCGGGGCATGCCGAGGCAGTTGCCCTTCGGGCACGGCCGCGCCCTTGTCCCCACCGGCGCGCGGGGACGTGCGCCCTTGCGTCGGGGTTGGGTCTGCCGGCCGGGAAGGTGGGGAGAACGACCTGGCGATTCATTTGATCTGTGGGCCGGCCCCCGAGGGGGAGGGCGGGGCCAGGGGCGCGGGGACGGGGGGCGGGGACCGGGGGGCGGCGGGTCTAATTCCAGCCGCGCTGTTGGCTGATGGAGCGCTCGCACGCTGCACGCGACCCTGCAGCGACTGGGGGCGCGCGTGTATGTGTGTGTGTCTGTGTGTCTGTGTGTCTGTGTGTGTGTCTGTGTGTGTATGCGGTGTGCGGTGAGCGGTGCGCGGTGTGCCTGGCCGCTCACATGGAGTGGGGAGGCAGGCACATGCGCGCCCGCGTTCGCGGGCAGACCAGCGCCCCATTGCATGTGGGGCTGCTAACTCATGATCCACTCGCACACCAACTTGTCCCGGCCCGGGCCAGCAGCCACGGGCCGGGGCGGGAGCGGGAGGAATGCCGCGCCCGAGGCCGGAGCGCCCTGGTGCCCTCGGCCTCGGGCTCCTCCCGGGGGCGTGGGGCACCGGCCGCCACCCCCTTGCTGGCCCAGTTATGTGCGCGAGCGCGCGCGCGCCCTTTCGCCCGAAGCGGGCACACACCCTTCCGCTGGTACATGATGGGACTGGGTGGTGCGAGCGCGAGCGCGCGCGCGCGCGCGTATTCAAGCATGCAGGCGGGGGCGACACACCCGCGGGCCCCGGGTTCGCAGCGGGACCTGGGCTCGAGCCTGCCCCTGCCCCCCCCTCCCGCCCCCGGGTTCCCAGTGGCGTGTGCATGTGCATGTGTGCGCGCTGATGTGCGCGCGCATGCGCGGCGGCCCGGGCCGGCCGTGTCTCCCCCGATCCTGGACGGGGGGGGGGGACATGGTGCGAGATGCCCGCCTCCGCCCCGTCACAGACCCCAGCACTATGCGGCCCGACACCGGGGGCAGGCGACGGACTGCCGGAAAGAGAGCGCCCGCTTGCCTCCCCGCCCTCGGGACTTCCGGCCAAGCTCTGTTGCGTGGAAGGCTGGGAAGGTGCGCGCGCGTTGGCCCTGGCCAACTGTCAGGGCTCTCTCGCCCAGGGAGGAGTCGCGCGCGATGCACCAGGCGCCTTGGCCAGGGCCCGGCAGCCTGCCCCGCCCGAGTCCCGATGGCTCGGCGAGTCCCCCGCCCCCGCCCCCGGCTCCCGGGGTGTGAAGGCACCCAGGGCGCCGTGCCCCCACTGTCAGCGGATCCCACCCGGCGGGACCGGGACTAGGTGCCTTCTCTCGCGCCGATCGCTGGCTCCCGCGGCGGGCCGTGGGGCCCGCGGCGACGCCCCCGCCCCTCTCAGCGGAGGGAGGGGGGACGGGGGGGGGGGGGGCGGCCCCGGCGTGTGTGGAGAAGTCTCGCCCCGGGGTCCACACGGGCAATTGCCTGCAAAGAGGACGTCCCGCCTCGGGCATGCACTTGCCCTCCCTGCCTCGGGGTCTTTTTTCTTTTTTGCCCTCGCCTTCGTGTGGGGGGCACGAGAGCTCGCCGCTGCCCTTGCCGAGCGAAGGACGGGGGGTGGATTGCGCCCCCGCATGCCTCAGCGCCCGGAGGCGCCCCCGGGGGATATGGCGACGGGACGCCGGTGTGCCTGTTTAACCAGGTGCCCCCGCCCCTGTGGGTGCCGGTGAAAGTGCCCGTGTGTCGGATAGCGCAGGGGCGGAGACTCCGGGCAGAAGGAAACACCCACCAGATGGCTATGTGCCACATTGACCCACATAAAAAAGGGCCAATATTCCACCGGGTGTCGATCGATTTGCCAGCCTGCAAGGCAGTCGTCCCCAGGACGCCTTCTCGCCCGGGGCCGGCCGGCCGGCCGGCCGGAGGCGGCGACTGGCACAGAGAGAACAGGGTGTGGGAGTCAGCCCCCGGCGCCGGGTAATAACTGCTCCCACCCCGCAGCCCCCCTGTCACCGACTCCCGGTCCCCCCCCCCACCCCCCCGGGGGCGGGGGATTCCCCCCCCCCCCCCCCCCCTCCGGTGGGGGGTCCGCCCGTGGCCGAGGGGTCTTCATTTCCCGGTAATGATCCTCGCGGCCGCACTGGCCGAGCTCTTCTTTGGCCTTGCTGGGCGGCGGCCGGAGCGGCGCGGCCAACCATGCCCCACCGGCTAGAGCGTACACACCCGTGCTTCCGCCGGCTCCCGCCGGCCATTCGGGGCAGGGTGGCCAGTGCGCGCGCCCACCACCCGGCAGGTGTGCACCCGATGCGCGGCCCAGCGCACACCTGGCCCGGAAAGCCAGCCGGTCTATCCCCTGTGCCGTCGCCCCCCGTCCCCCGCCCCGTCCCCCCTTTTTCCGCTGTGCCGAGCTGGATCCCATCACACCCCCGGCCTGCCATTGCCCCCCCCCGGGCCCTGAACAAGGTCGTCGCTGGGCGGCCGGCGGATTCTTCGAGGGAGCAGCACGCTCAGAAACCAGAACCCGATCACGCGCACACATGGGTTAAGAATATTCGGACCTCGGTTAAAGGTGCTCCCTCGTCTCGAGCGCGTTCGTGAGGGCGTGTGCGAATACGTGGGGCGGGCTTGCATGTAAACCGTGTGTATTTTCTGGGCCTCTCGTGTGCCCCCCTCTCGCCGGCCTCCCTGCCTCTACTGCGCTTGGGCATCCCCGCGACCGAAGCCGAGAGGGACCATGGCGCCGGTTCAAGTGAAATGCCCCCCATTCTCTGCTTGGACCTCGCCCTTGCCGACCAACTCGACGGACACCGGGGAGGGCGCAACAGGCAAGGGCTTTTCCGCTGCCCAGGGGGGGGGGGGAGGGGTGTCACATCACACACAGGCCCAGAACAGCGAGATGGATGGGGCGCAGCGGGCGGGGGCAGGGAGGGAAAATGTCTATGCCTAAGCCTAGGGCATTGTGTGTGTGTGTGAGCGCGCGCGCGCGCGCGGGCCTTTGTGTTCAGATATCCGCAGGATGGAGCGTGGTCTGGGTGTGCACCAACGGGCTGGACCGATGCCCGGCCAGCAGGGTCCGTTCTAGCAGTGACAGATCCTCCACCCGGTAGGGCTTGCGAATAAAGGCATGGAAGAGTCCGGGGAAGCGCTGCTCCAGGGCCTCCGTGCGCTGGTCGAATTTTCGCTTCCACGAGGGCTCCAGCCGCCGCAGGACGGCCTCTTGATCGTGGCGGTGGTCGCACTTGCAGAAGTCCACCACCGGCGGCTGGGGCTCATCCGAGCGGGTTGTGGTGGCAGCCCCTCCCTCGTCGGATGCCGGCCCCCGGGCCGATGGGGGAGGCGGCACCCGGCGCCCTGGCAACGGCCCCTCCGGGGGGCGATGGCACTCCGAGCACACATAATGGTACCCCTGTCGGCTGAGGGCAGTTGTGATGGTCAAGGCGGCGACCACCTTGGCGTTTCGATTCGGCCCGCGGGTGGATCTATCCACGAGAGTCGGAGGGGCAGGGAAAGGGATGGACGAGGGAAGAGGAGGAGAGGGGAGAGATGAGGCGAGGGGAGGCGAGAAGGAGGAGGCGGGTTAGCCAGAATCCAAGGATGTATGATGGTCTGCTCTCTCGGTCGACCCGTAGCAGACCCAGCAGGCGCAGGGCAAAAGACGGCCCCGATCCCCCCACCCCGACCCACCACCCACAGGCATATCACGTACTGGAGAATGCGCAGCACGGCGCACACGGTCTCCGGGCGGCGGTCACAATCCACGAAGATGATGTTCCACTTGTTGACGGGCCTCTGATAGTCCAGGCACAGGCATTCATCGCCCAGGGTGTCATTCTCCTCGTCAACCTGCTCCACCTCGCGGATCCAGAACAGCCAATTTTTGATGGGCTGCCCGCCGATGAGGTTGGCCAGGTCGTGGCGCCGGCCGATGCCTGGCAGGTGGGGCCCCCACTGCCGGGGCCCGCCCAGGGCCGGGCCCTTCATGTTGTGGCGATGGTACAGCAGGCCTATGATGGAGGAGAAGGGGTCGAGTTCCTCCGGCGGCGTGTCATTGCGCCGGCCCAGCCGGAAGCCCGATGTGTCCTGCAGGTCGTCCAGGCTCAGGGGACACGGCGAGGGAGGCGGCTCCGGGCCCGGGGCCGCATCCGCCAGGGCCACGTTCTGGCCGTGGGGCAGCAAGAACATGGACGAGGTATTGGGCATGATGTCCAGGCGCCGAGACAATTCCAGGCGATCATTGAAGTGGTCTTCCTCGGAGGTGGGCCGGGCAGGGTCCAGTGACCGGGGGCGCGCGGGGCCGAGCCCGCCGCCCGGCACTTCGACCAAGATCCGGCCGGCGCAAAAGTTGCAGGTCTCAACATGCCGCGAGCTCAGGGACAGATCCCCCATGCTGGGCAGGCTGACCAGGCTGCCCGAGGCCGATGGCGAGAGGTCCTGCAGGGAGATGTCCATGCTCGGCGACCTGGAGCACCATTGCTGCTGCTGCTGCTGCTGCTGCTGCTGCTGGTGGTGGTGGTGGTGGTGGTGATGGTGGTGGTGGTGATGGTGATGGTGGTGGTGATGAGGATGATGATGCGGATGATTGTGGTGAAGGTCGCCCGGCCTGGGTGCACTGGAGCTGGAAGTCTGGCCTGGGTGGCCCGGCGGCGGGGAGCTTGGGTAATGGTGAAGGGAATCCGGCTGCGGCTGCGGCTGCGACTGTTGGTGATGGGAGCTGCTCTCACCACACCCGGCACTGGAGCACGGCGAGGAGAGGGGATGCTCGTGGACGACGCGCGCCGCGTAGCCGTCGACGATGATCAGCGGCTCCTCGCAGCCAGACCCCGACCCGAGAGTCAGCTCCAGGCTGCCGACCACCGACCGGAGCATGTCCACCCGGTGGAAGATATAGGTCAGGTGGCACAGCCGCGCCGGAAGGCGCTGATAGCCGCCCGGGGGGTCTGGCGTGGCCGGAGGCCTGGGCCACACCGGGGCGGCCTCCGGCCGGGGGGACGACCCCCGGGGGGCGGGCCGCGGCAGGCCGGTTGCCGGGCCGAGGGAGATGTCGCCAGCCACATAGGTCGAGCTGACGGCATGCAAGTCCGACGAGACCGAGGGGTCGACGGCCGCCGGGTCCGGCGCCTCGAAGCCGGGGCCGGGCCCCATGCCGGGCGAGCTCATGTGCCTCGGGCTGGCCAAGGGAACCGGCTGCGGGCCGTCCCGCATGGCAGGCAGGCTGCCCTGGGCCTCGGCGGTGTCGCAGCGAATGCCCTTTGCCTCGCCGCAGGACACGGTGCCGATGGCCATGGTGCCCGGCGCCGTGCCGCCTGCCGGGGCATCACCGGCCATGGCCAGGGCGGCAGGCAGGTGGCCGGGCGGCCGGTGCGGCGACGAGTCCAAGGCGCCCGGGCGCCGGGGCCTGGCGAGTTCCTGGTCCCCAAGGCAGGCCCCCATGAGCAGGTCCTTCAGGTAGGTGGCATTGTCGGTGACCGTGTCGCAAATGAGGGCCGTCAGGAGCCGCGGGGCCCGCAGGGCCAGCAGGCGGCGGGCGATTCGCGCCGCGCGGCTGCCCGCCAGCCGGGCCTGCAGCAGGTTGCTGGCCGCCTCGGCCGCCGTGCGGGGCGACATCTGCGACAGCTGGAAGGGCTGCCCGGCGGCCGGGTCCTCGCCGTCGGAGTCCGGCTCGACGCGGGGCAGGAATTGCCCGACGGCCGTCCACCCGGTGGCCGCGTCCACCGGGCCGCCTTCCGGGACCGGGTGCATGGGCGGCCCGGTGGGCACGCTGGCCAGGAGCAATGGCCCCGACAGGGAATAGAGGAGCCCGCTGCCGGGCCCGCGGATCAGGCCCGGCCCGCCGCCGGACGACGAGGAGGAGGATGCCGTGGAGGAGGCGGACGATGAGCAGGGCGAGCCGGACCGCGAGGACCCCAGGATGAAGGCGTCCTCCCCGGGTCCGGGCCCGGGGCCGGGGCCGGGGCCGAGGCCGGCCGGGCGGAGGGGCGACGTGATGGCGATCGAGGGGCCCGGCTGGCCGCCGGGCATCCGGGCGCCTGGGCCACTGCCCCCGGGCCCGCCCCCGCGCGAGGCGTACTCCGACACGGAGGAGATGGACCCACGCCGGGGGGCCCGCCAGGCGAAGGGCTGGTGGTAGCCCTGCTGCTGGAGCTGGAGCTGCTGCAGCTGCTGCTGCTGCTGGTGGTGAAGCTGCATGTATGGGTGGGAGGCCGGGTCGCCGGGGCCCGGGGCCAGCACGGCCGATTGGGACCGGTGGTGTCGCGGCCCGGGCACCGTGGCCAGGAAGGGGGCATGCTGGGCCGGGCCCGGGGGCGGGGTCCCGGCCCCGTCCGGCCCGTCGGCCATCGGTGGCCCGGCCCCGGGGAAGTCCGACAGGGGGGACGATTCGTCGGGGCTGCGCCAGGCCCCGGCGGCCGAGCGCCAGCCCTGGGGCGAGTTCAAGGCCGAGGAGGACCCGGTCACCCAGAACTTGGACTGGCCCAGCGGGGTGCGCGGGGTGCGCGGGGTGCGCGGCGTACGCGGCGTGGTCGTGGTCCGCGGCGGCCCGGGGATGGTGCCGGCGCCGGTGATGCCGCCGGGCCCGATGCCGGTCGGGCCGGTCCCCTGCAAGTGGAACCGGTGCAGCGAGCCGGAGGAGAAGTTCCGCCGAAGGGCCCCCCCGCCCCCGGCCGAGGGCCCGGGCGCCCCGAGGGAGCTGGGGCTGATGCCGACGCTGCCGGGCGGCCCGGCCGGGCCGTACTCCCCGGCCGGCAGCAGGGGCAGCAAGTCGTCCGGCCGGTGGTTGGCCCGGTGGTGGCCCGACCGGGGGGGATACCCGGGCGGCGAGGCGGCCGACATCGAGGCCACCGACGAGGAGGAGGACGACCGCGCGATGCCGGCCGAGTGGGGGGACGAGGAGCAGGAGGGGGATGGCCGGGGCCCGGCGGCCGCGGCGGCCAGTGCCGGGTCCAGCGTCCGTGCCAGCTGCGCCGCCTCGCCGGAGGAGGTGTCCGACTCGCCGATGCCAAACATGCGGCCGGGTGCCGGGCCGCCGGGCACCGGGGCCGGCGCCAGCGGGGGCGGATGCCCGCCATACGGCGACGGGCCTTGCCCCCCGCCGGGGGCCTGGTACCAGAAGCCGGTGTCCAGCGGGTCGTGGCGACTGCCGCCGGCGGGTCCGCCGCCGCCGCCGCCGCCGCCGCCGCCGCCGCCGCCGCCGGGCGTGGTCGGCCGACTGCCAGCCATGTCGGACAGGTGCGCCGAGAAGGAGGACGACCCGCTGGACCGGGCGCTGCACGGGTACTCCGACAGCGGGGACGAGGGGGGCGCCGAGAGGAAGGGGGCAAATTCGCTGGCGCTCGTGGACCGGCAGATGCCCGTGCGCGGGCCCCGGTGCGTGGCGGTCGGGTGGCCGGCTGCCGGGTAGGGCCCGGCAAAGGGGTGGTACACGGCCGTGGGCGAGTGCGACCGGTCGGACAGCGAGCCGCTCGGCAGGCCGGCGGCATTCAGAGCCAGCGGCGACAGGCCCGGGCCGCCGGGGGACAGCATCGGCGGCGAGACATTGCGCCGGATGCCGGGGGTCGGCGGCGGCGGCGGAGCCAGCCCGGTCCACGGGCTGTCCAGGCCGCTGGCCGAGGAGCTGGCCGAGGAGGGCGCCTGCGACGGGGGGAAGCCCGACGAGGCATGGGGGTGGAAGTGGGCCTGGCTGCCGGGGCCGGGACCGGCGGCCGGGGGTCCGCCATAGTGCTGCTGCGTCGGGGGTTCCGCGAGGGGCACCGGCGTGACGATGCCGCTCGGTGGCCCGGCCCCGGGGGCCAGGTGCGGGTGTTGCAGGAGCAGCGACGGGTTGCCGGTGCTGATGCTGCGCACATGGTGCGGCCCGGGGCCGGGGCCGCCGGAGCCGGGCCCCGGGCCCGGGCCCAGCGGCGAAAGGATGTGCCCCAGGGCCCCGGGGGCCCCGGGGGACCCGGCGCTGCTCAGGCCGCCCAGGTCGCTGGTGCTCGGGGCGGCCGCGGTCCCGGGCCCCGGGCGATGCTGGCCGCTGAAGCTGGCTCGCCGGGCCCCGGGGCTGGATGTGCCGGACCCGATGCTGCCCCGGCGCTCGGGGTTGAAGGGCGAGCTGGTGGCCGGGGCATTGGGGCCGCTGGCGCCGGGCCCGAGCCAGGCGCCCCCGGCCGCGGGGACACTCGTGCTGGCGAAGCCGCCCATCGGCGAGGAGGAGGAGGTCGGCGAGGAGGAGGTCGAAACCGGGGTCGTCACCAGGGACTTGATGTTGGACAGGCCACTGGGGGAGGAGGTGGACAGGCGCCGGGCCAGCAGCAGGTTGTCCTCCCGCAGGACGCCATAATTCCGGTACCCGAAGCCGGAGCACTCGCCAAGCATGAAGCCCCCGCCGGAGGAGACCGTCGGGCAGCTGGTGCTGCCGCACATGGTGCACCGGAGCCCGGCCCCGGTCCCGACCAGGGCCGGCACCATGGACGTCATGGAGGGCGTGGCGCTGACCAGGCCGCTGCCGGTGGCCGACAGCCCGGACAGGGTGGCCGACGAGGACTCGGACGGGGTGCGCGGGGGGAGCGGCGAGCCGGGGCGCGGGGGCGCCGGCCCGGCCCCGGCCGCCGGCCCCCCGGCCGCCGTGCCGCCGGAGGTGATGACCCCGGCGGCCAGGTGCGGCCGTGAGGTGGCCAGGGGGCTGGCCACCTGCAGGGGGCTTCGCCCGGCGCCGGCGCCGGCGCCGGCGCCGGCGCCGGAGGTGGTGCTGGTGCTGGCGCTGGTGCTGGTGCTCGGGGGGTCCGGCGTGGTGGAGGTCCCGCCCCCGGTGGCGGAGGACGCCCCCCCGGCGGCCGATGGGCGGGAGGGCTGGTCGGCGGCCGGGCCGCTGGACGCCGCATGCGGCGCCCGGTCCTGCGAGGGCAGGCCGCCCATTGGTCCTGCCGGTGGCCGGGCCGTGGGGGCCGGGCCCGGGGCGGCTGCCTCACCGGCCGGCCGCCGGGCCGGGGGACCTCCCTCGCCGGCCGGGGCCGAGCTCTCCAGCGGTGTGTTGGGGGTGGAGGGCGGCGGCGGCCGGCGGCCGGGCTCCGCGTCCATGCCGGCCGGCGGCAGGTCCAGCCGCACCACCGGCCGGCCGGCATCACTGAAGACCCCGGTCGGGGTCGGGGTCGGGCCCGAGCCGGACAGAGCCCCCGAGTCCGACTGCGACTCGGTGGCCTGGGCCTCGGCCGAGTAGACGGCCCCGGTGCGCAGCGGGCTGGGGCGCTTGGCCGGCGCCGTGGACAGGGCCGCGGCCTGGGGAGCCAGCCGCCGGCCGCGGCCCAGGCCACGGGTGCCCGGGTCCGGCGACACGGGCGTCGAGGGCCCGGCGATCGGGCCCGGCACGGCGATCGGGCCCGGCACGGCGGAGGTGCCGGCCGCCAGGCGCGGGCTGGCGGCCGGGCTGCGCGGCGCGGCCGAGCGCCGGGTCGCGCGGTCGGTGCTCGACCGGCCGGCCGACGCTGCCGCCGCCGCCGGCGAGGGGGGCGGGGACCCGGTGGCGACGGCGCTGGCCGTGCTGGCGGCCAGCGCCGCCTGGCTGCTGTCGCCCACCTCGCTCTCGGACGAGGAAGCGGGCACCACGGCCTCGCTAGGGATCGTGGTGAGCGCAGGTCAGTAAGGCACGTTTGCACCGGGGGTGGGGTGGGGTGGGGGGGGGGGGGCGGAGGTGTGGCTTTTTTCCGCTGTGCTTCTCTGTCTCGCTGCCTCGCACTTGCCTCGCCTTCCCCCGCAGCCGTTTTCGCTCTGTCTCTCTCTGTCTCTCTCTCTCTCTCTCTCACTCGCTCGCTCGCTCGGGCACCCACCCTCGGGGCCATGCAGCATGCGTGGCCAGTGGCGTACCGGTTCACCTGAAGCAGCAGGGCCTCAGCATGCGGGCTCTTGCCGGTGGCCAGCGAGGCCCCCCCCCGGTCCCGGTGGTGCCAGGTCGAGTAGCGCCCCGACTGGCCGAAGGCGTATTTGCCGCCGGCCGGGGGGGCAGCCGCAAGCGAGCCCCCGGGCCCGGAGGTGGCCGACGAGCTGATCGCAGCCGAGGACGTGGCGGTGGAGGCCGACCCGGCGGAGCCAGTGCCCCCGGTGGGCACCCCGGCCTCGGCCGCCAGGTCCGCCAGGACCGACGCCGGCTCCGACCGCTCGTGCGAGGTGGCCCGGCTGGAGGGCAGTCGCACCGTGGCAATGAGGTTGGCCGACGAGGCGGCCGACGTCAGCAGCACTGCCCCCGAGTCCATGGAGATGGCCGAAAGCCCGGACGCGGCCAGGGACTCCGGGTAATCCTCCAAGGTCCGGAGGAGCGACAGGTCCGACCGCGAGGCCGACATGACGGTGCGCTTGCCGCCGAAGGTTTGCGAGTGGTAGTTGCCGATCTTGCCGGACCGGCTGGCCGAGCTTGCCTGGCCGTTGGTCGTATCGGTGGAGGACTGGCCGCTGTAGCCGACATCACGCGAGGAGGACCCGCCGAGCAGGCTGGACAGCGACCGGCCGCCGGACAGGGCCTGCCGCGCGGCCGCCGGGCTGCCCGGCGCCGGCGACGGGGCCGGCGACGAGGACAGGCTCCCGGCCGGGGTGATGCCGGCCCCGGGGCGGTCGTCGGCCGCGGCCAGCCGGCGCATGTATTGCTGGGCCTGGATTCGCAGGACCGAGGCGCTGCGGTCGGCCGGCGGCGAGGCCGCCCGGCCCCGCTGCCAGGGATACAACTTGACGGCGGCCGCCGGGCTGGCCCCCGGCCGCGAGGGCGGCGTGCCCACCGGCGAAAGTGGGGCCTGGGCCGCGGGGCGCGCCCGGGCCGGGGTCACGACCACCGTCGGCGGCTCGGCCACCCGGAGGGCCTCCATCGTGGCCGGCCGCGAGCTGTGGATGGTTGCATGGCCGGCGGCCGGGGGCGGGGCCGCCAGGGGTGGCGGCGGCCTCGGCAGGACGCCGGGGCCGTGCTCCCGGCCGGGGGGGCCCCCGGCGGCCGGCCGCCCGGCCGCCCGCGCGCTGGCCTCTTCCTGGCCGGCCTGTGGCCAGGGTGCTGGCAGCGGCGGCGGCGGCGGCGGCCGGGTGAGGGTCTCCTCCGAGACGTCGGCCTCGGCGCCGGAGTCGATTGCGCGCGAGGACGAGCGCGACAGGCCCGCCCGCCGGGCCTCCGCCTCCTCCTCGGGCGATGATGAGGCGGCCGACCCGCGCGAGGGCTGGCCCGCACGCGGTGCCACCAGCGCCAACGGCGGCGGCGGCGGCGGCGGCGGCCCCTGGGGCACCTGCGGCGGCTGTGGCAGCGGCGGCGGCGGCAGCGGCGGCAGCGGCAGCGGCGACGGCCCCAGGACCTTGCTCGATGACAGGTAGCCCGCCGGCCCGGGGGCCGGGTGGAGTTGATAGTGCAGCAGCAGCGGGTCCCCATCGGACAGCGAGGAGGACGAGGCCGACAGCCGGGGCCGGCGTGGCTGCTCCGAATTCTCCGACGATGCCACATCCCCGGTGGCCAGGCTGTCGGCCAGCAGCTCATTGGAGGAGGTGGTCAGGGCGAGCGGCGGCGGCAGTGGCGGCAGTGGCGGCGGCGGCGGCGGCGAGGGCGACGCCGAGGGCGGCATGGCCGACGCCGGGCCCGGGTCCTCGGGCGCCGGGTCCCCGGGCGCCGGGTGCTCGGGCGCCGGGTCCCCGGGCGCCGGGTCCGGGCCCGCCACCAGCGGGGCCGGCAGGGGCACCGAAGCACTGGCGCCGGAGGGCGTGCCGATAGACATGCTGTCGGTGATGGTGACACTGGTGTCGGTGATGGTGACACTGGTGTTGGTGTTGGTGGTGATGGTGGCCGCGACCGAGGTGGCCGCCGTGAGGTCCGTGTCATCGCCATCGATGTCGGTCATGGGGCCGACGCCGCGCTGGTCGAAGTACGACACATCGGCGTCGTCCTGCAGGCGCGGGATGAAGAAGGCCTCGGCGTGGGCCAAGTTCCGCCAGTTGATCTGCTCCGCCTCCGGGGGCTCCTCCCAGATGTACACCGGCTGCGGCAGGCCCCGGGGGTTGCCGTAGGTCCGCTGGCGCCGGGGGATGGACCCGGCGCGCGGGGACACCGGCGAGCTGCCGGCTGCCGAGCCGGGCCCCGCGCCCGGCCCCCCGGGCAGGTCGCCGGCGGCCATCGGCTGCCCGGGCCCGCGCCCGGGCGACACCGGCGGCGAGGGGGAGTTGCCGGATCCGCCCTGCGCCCGGGGGGTCTGGTCCAGCAGCGGGCTGTTGTCCGGGCCCAGCATGAGCCCGGGCCAGGGGCCGAAGTACCGGTGGGCCTTGACGGCCTGCGAGCCGCCGGTCACAAAGGACCCGAGCCGGCGCTCCGGGTCCGCATTCAGCAGGTGGTTGATGATGTTGTAGGAGTGCCAGGAAATCGGGATGTACGTGGCCTCCTCCGACGGCATGGGCCCCCCGTCGGAGCTGCTGGAGCCGCCCATCGACGCGCGGCCGATGTCCAGGCGGAGGTCGGCCCTCGGGGAGGGGGTCCCGCCGGGGGCGCTGGCCGGGGTGGTGGCCGGGCTGTCGGCCCCGCTGGCGCCGGCGGACGGTGTCTGCGGGTGCTGCGGATGCTCGGCATTGCCCAGGCGGCCACGGCCGCCGACCATGCCATCCGACAGCTGCAAGTTGGAGGGGTCGCTGTAGAAGGCCGACAGAGATGGCCCGGCCGTGCGGCCGGCCCCGCTGTGCAGGTCCAAGTCCCCGTGGGAGGAGGCCCCGCCATGGAGAACGCCCAGGCGCCGGAGGGCCACCATTCGCCGGCGGAGGTCCTCCTCGCCGCCGGGGCTGGCGCCGGCCATGCTGCTGCTCGGGCCCAGCAGCGGCGAGTGCGAGGCCGAGAGGGAGGTCGACCCGGACACCGGCGAGGGCGATGCCCGGGCCATGGGCGGCAGGGGCGGCTGGGGCTGCAGGAAGATCGGCCTCGCCAGGAGCTCCGGCTCGCCGCCAGGCCCGCCGGGCCCGCCGAGGTCCGGCGAATTCCGCAGCAGCCGATCGCGCTCCTCGGCGTGATGCCGCTCCCAGGCCAGCAGCTCCCCCGGGCCGCGGACATTCGACCAAAAGCCCGACAGGGGCCTGGAGTCGTTGCTGTTCCGGTCCCAGCGCTGCTTCTTCACCCGGCGCAGGGTCCCGGACAGGTAGTGGAAGCGCCCGCGCTGCTCGGTGGCCAGGCGCCGGCTGGGGAAGGTCCCATGGTCGCCGGCGGGCGAGTCATCGCTCGGCCCGGCGACGGCGGCCGCCGCCTCGGCCCGGGCCGCGGCCGCCATCCGGTGCAGGCGCTCCTGCGACCAGGAGGTGGCCAGCTGCTCCTCCAAATCGCGGCGCAGCCCGGCCGCCGGGGTCAGCGCCTCCGGCGAGGCCGGCGCCGACAAGTTGGCAATGGCCTGCCCCCCGGCTTCGGCCATGTCGGTGGGCTCGGCGTACAGGGTCCGGTCGGAGTCGTCCGAGGACACGGCCCCGGTGGTGGTGGTGGTGGTGGTGGTGGTGGTGGTGGTGGTGGAGCCCCGACTTGGGCTGGCATCCGATGTCGACCCGGCGTCCACATCCTCCAGGTCGCTGGCGAACTCCACCGACCAGGAGATGTCCCGCAGGACGATGCGGCCGAAAATCTGCTCGCGCGTCGGCGCGTGGAAGGGCGGCACGCCATACAGGAACTCGTAGAGAATGACGCCGAGGGCCCACTGGCGGGCAGGCAGGGCCGGGCGAGCGGGCAACGCCGAACGAGCGGGCGGGCGTGAGAAGAGGCAGGAGGATCAGCGGGGCGGG